CTAGAACATTGGCTTGGGACTTGAGCTGCCCCAGCTCCTTTCTGGTTGATCCAGACACTAAGGAGGCCAGTATCTTGACATACTTCTGACCCCTTCATGGCATATCAGTATGGCTGCTGTGCTGTAGAATCACTTGATCACTTATTACTACACTGGCTGTATCCCTAGCTTTCCTTTCTTTCCTGTCGCCATCAAGTCAATTCCGACCCATGGCAACCCATGTGTGTCAAAGTAGAACTGCACTCCATAGGATTTTCTTGGCTGTAATCTTTACAGAAGCAGATCACCAGGCATTTCTTCCATGGCACTGTTGGGTGGGTTCGAACCCCAACCTTTCAATTAGTAGCTGAGTAAAAACAGTTTGTGCCCCTCCCAGGGATCTTATCCCTCACTAGAGGGTATCAATAAATGCCATCAGATGAACTTAAACCATGCATAAGCATGGCTGATGGAAGGTAAAGGGCTAGAGGTGAGGGGTTTGGCACCAGATAATATTGCTGGAGAATTCTTAAGCACAGAGACAAATAGCTCTTCCTCAGGACTCATAAGCTAGGGTTGCAAAACAAAACAAAACAGAAAAATCCACAACTCTCTCTTGGCTAATCAAGCAAAAAGGAAATATATAAAGGATATTAGGCACTTTATAGAAGCTCTGGGAGTCAGTCTTGGAGGCCCTGCAGCCAGGAACAATGCCCAGAGCACCGTAAGGCTTCCCACTGAAGATCTCATCACTGCTGCTGGACATGGACATTGAACCTAATGACGGTGCTGGGAACTGAGAGCCAGAAGCTCCATAGTGCTGTCCCTGAAATTCTGGGTGTTTCTCTACTACCCTCACCCCAAAAAAGGGATCCACACGGCACCTATTACTCCATGCTTTTGTCTTCAGAATTGAAGCCTTGTGCAAGAGTATCCATTTCCCAGAGTTTAGGTCACATGCCTGCATGTTAACTGGAAAAACCAGGGTCTGCCTCCTACCATGACAAGGCAGGATTCACAATGTAGTTGGGGGGGACCCACACATTGGGACTTGTTCAAAGTCAGCAGGTGGCCACAATCTTGACAAACGTCCACTTCACGTCTCAATGCAACATGTCTAGACCCATTCCATCATCTTCTCTAATAAACTAGTTCCTTTCTGGTGTTTTCTAGGTCAGGGAATGCCATTGTTATTCTCCCTGTTAACCAATCCAGAAACACGGAAAATGTACTTGATTCCTTGCACTCCCTGAACACGTACATCTCGTCCATCTTCAAGTCGTAACCATTTTGCTTCCTAAATATTTCTTTAATCTGTGCTCAATTCTGCAACACAACTCACTTAGTTCTGGCCCATCATCATCTCTCATCTTGGCAAATCAACAGCTTTCTAACTGGCTTCCTTCTGTGGGCCCAGTTGGCCCACACCACCTCTTCTTCCATACTGTACCATGGTGGTATTCTGTAAGGTGTTATTCCCTTGCTTTAAGAGATAATGCCTCTATGAGAGAATTCAACCCCCTTAGAACATTTGGAAGGTCCACAGTGGTACAAACAGTTAAGTGCTTGGTTGCTCCCTGAAAGGTTGGCAGTTCGAACCCACCCACTGGCATCGTGGAAGAAAAGGCCCGTTGGTCTGCTTCTGTAAAGATTATAGCCAAGAAAACCCTATAGAGCAGTTCTACTCTATAACACGTGGGTCACCATGGATTGGAATTGACTTGCTGGCATAAGATGACGACAAAAACAACAGATCCTTTGGTAACTATTCGATTTACTTTTTTCACTCTTGCACATTGAGTACTTCAGTAATATTTTCATTTTCAATCAGAATTACAAAAATAAATATGATTTATTAAACATATACTAAGTGCTATACTCTATTTGAAGCACATTAGATAATCATCACACCAATACTAGGAGGTAAGGGTCATTTATATTCCCATTTTACAGAGAGGGAGACTGAGGCCAAAGCAATAATAGCAGCCCCAGTATTTGAACATAGGTCTATCTGCCGCCCAAGTCCATGCCTTCAACCAGGCCTCTGTTTGCTCTGTCTTTACTGAATTACTTGCAGCCAGTTGAATAAACATGTGCTTTCTCATGCTTCTGTTAGTTTGAATATTCCTGTCCTTCTACTTCAAATGACTCCCTTACCTTTGTTTACTTGCCTGAGTGTTAAGTATCCTTCGCTGCTCATTCTGGTAATGCATTCTTCTATAGAGCCTCTCCCCACTCTCCCACCCTCCATCCCAACCTGCCCCCGATTTAGACCTTCCCTCCACCAGTGCCCACAGCCCTAATAGCTGGATTAGCATTGTTTCCTTGACGATCAATAAGCATCTGAGAGCAGGGATGTTGTCATGTTTTGCTGTACTCTGAGGACCTAGCAGAGATAGAAGTAGGAGTATGGTAGGCACATTGGGCTGAAATAGACCATACTATAAAAGTCTCTAGAAATAATGCCTTAGATTCCTATGCCTGCAGTAACAAAATACCACAAAATGGGTAGCTATAAAGAACAGAAATTTCTTGTCTCACAGTTCTGGACGTTCAAAGTCCAAATCAGGGTATCGGCCATGTTGATTCCTCCTGAGAGCTCCGAGGAACTGTTCCATGCCTCTCTGCTAGCTTCTAGTGGTCACCAGCAATCCTTGGCATTCTTTTGCTGCTTATAGATCTATCTTCACATGACACCTTTTTCCTGTGTATAACTGTGTCTCTGTGTCTATCCTCTTTTATAAGACACCAGTCATATAAGATTAAGAACCACCCTGTTCAGGTATGACCTCATTATTTCATCTTCAGAGAAAGACCCTATATCCCCAACAAGGTCACATTCGCAGGTACAGGGGTTAAGACTTTAATATATCTTTTTGGGTGCACAATAGGTCGTTGTTAGGTGCTGTTGAGTCGGTTCTGACTCATAGTGACCCTACGTACAACAGAACGAAACACTGCTGAGTCCTGCACCATCCTCACATTCATTGTTATGCTTGAGCCCATTATTGCAGCCACTGTGTTAATCCATCTCTTGAGGGTCTTCCTCTTTTTTGTGGACCCTATACTTTACCAAGCATGATGTCCTTCTCCAGGGACTGATCCTTCCTGATAACATGTCCAAAGTATGTGACACGAAGTCTTGCCATCTGACTTCTAAGGAGCATTCTAGGTGTACTTTTTCCAAGACAGATTTGTTCGTTCTTTCGGCAGTCCATGGTATATTCACTATTCTTTGCCAACATCATAATTCAAACACATCAATTCTTCTTCAGTCTTCCTTATTCATTGCCCAGTTTTCGGATGCATATGACGCAGCTGAAAATACCATGGCTTGGGTCAGGTGCACCTTAGTCCTTAAAGTGACATCTTTGCTTTTTAACACTCCAAAGAGGTCTTTTGCAGATGTGCCCGGTGCAATGCGTCGTTTGATATCTTGACTGCTGCTTCAGTGGATGTTGATTGTGGATCCAGGTAAAATGAAATCCTTGACAACGTCAATCTTTGTTTCATTTATCATGATGTTGCTTACTGGACCAGTTGTGAGAATTTTTGTTTTCTTTATGTTGAGGTATAATCCATACTGAAGGCTGTAGTCTTTGATCTTCATCAGTAAGTGCTTCAAGTCCTCTTCACTTTCAGCAAGCAAGGTTTGTATTAAATTTAGGTTTTCCTGCAAGGGAAGAGCAATTCTTTCTATCCCATGTGAGCCTGAACTGGCAGTCAGCATGGTGGCATAGTGGTTAAGAGATATGGCTGCTAACCAAAAGATCAGCAGTTCGAATCCACCAGGTGCTCCTTGGAAACCATATGGGGTAGTTCTACTCTGTCCTATAGGGTTGCTATGAGTCAGGATTGACTCAACGGCCACAGGTTTTTGTTTTTTTGTTTTTTAATGGGTATTTGCAGGCCAGCTTCTCTGAAGAGTAAATGGTGGGTGAGTGCAATAATTAGCTTCAATAGGCAGACATTCACCCCCTTCTCGTCCCATAAGCCATGACTCTCGAGAAAATACAGACTCTGCTAAGCGAAGTATTGCCTTGACTTTTTACACTTGAGATGCTGCTTTCTGAAGCACTTTCAATGGGTCATCTTCTAGTTGGCTAGATTTTCAAAAAAACAGTGGGTTTTATGGCTCCAAAGAATCTACATTCTTTTCTTCCCTTTAAGTCTTACTTTCAGAAGAAAAGAGAGGATTTCTGAGACGATAAGCTGGGGATGGGAAGGGAAATTCTGTATCATTTAATAGAAATTAAGAGTTGCTTCCTTCTGTCTTGGGCTACTGTTACGCACAGGGATAGGTTGTTCAGCTCTATGGTTTCTGAAGGTCACTTGGTGTAGGCACCTGAAACACCATGCGAGTCAAGCTTCAGCAGTTCTTATTAGCTCAGTGCTAAGCTTTCAAACAAGATGTGTTTACATTCTTTATGCTCTGAAGATCCACCCCACAATTTTTTTCATCTCACATCATCCTGGGGCAAATTGGTCCTTCCTTAAGTTGCAGCGGCTTGTCTATTGATAATGCAGGCATGAAGATGAAGGATCAGTGATAATCATCTCCTAGTCTCAGAGCACTTTAGAAAGGAAATATTCTGTATTTGTATCTCATTACCAGCTCTCTGTCCTGTGAAATGCTGCCTAATTGGGAAACTCTGAAAGGCCTGGCAAATGGAAGTTCTATGCGGCTGACCAACAATTGCCTCACTGGAGGAGTCATCCAAAGGCACCAATGTTAATCTTATTAGTCCATGCAGTCCTCTTGCTACAGGGAAACGTATAAATATTTGTAAACTCCCTAATCCATTTCAGCTGCCAGGATGGAGTAATATGATAAGTCAAGCAAACTTCCTGGCGATCAGCAGAAGTTTATGATTATGATAAGCAAATACAACTTGCCCCACCATGGATTGCTTGAGACCTGGGCCAAAAATGTTTCTCACAACTTGTGTCCCAAAGACCCCATCACCCCCCATGTCAAATTCTCTGGCAGGCGAAAGGTCCTTGAGAGTCAAGGTATATACCTGTTGGGATGGTACTCCGGGCTTGGCTGGCTGCCGGCTGGGCTGAATGTCGCAGACAACTGCCCACTGCGGGAGAGCTTGCCTGGTGCTGGGCATGGGCCTGAGGTGTGGTGAGTGTAAGGGCAGGTCTGGTGGCAGTGGCTGGGCTGCTCAGACTTCCACCACCTGGGTGGATGGTTGTAGTCATCCCTTTGGCCAGTGGAGATCCTCCAACTACATTATTCCGGGGTGGTCCAGCCCCTCCTACAGGAACCCTAAGGAAATAAAGCAGAATTAAGTCAGGCAAAAGGGCTCAGATGAAATCATACAACACAGGCCACTGACAAAGGCCCACTATTACCTACTGGCTTTGGGAGATAGAAACAAAATAGTTGAGAGGACAATGTTCTAAAAACAATGTCAAAATAATTCTTATAGTTGAACCACATCCAGAGCTCAAGCTGACAAGGACACTCTTTATAAAACCTTCATGGGGGCCAACTTCCAATGTGAATTTGAGAAATAGTAGAATAACCCTATGTAACAGAGGAATGATCCCAAGTCAATCAAATATTTTCTACCAGAGCTTCTGCCTTAATTCATTCTAACAAACATCTGTGTGTTCCCAAACACATCCATAAAAAATGGATGACTGAGTCACCTCCCACCAGGCTTTAAAACATCTGACAGTGTGGCAGGGGAAAAACAATGGAAAGAATAGCCGACTCCCTATGGACCTGGCCGCCATTTTGTTTCTGCCGGCCTCTGACCAAGACTTCTGGGAAAAGCCAAAGAAAACATAACATCCTTCACAGGGATTTCAAAGAACTTGTAGTTTCATACCAGAAATAGATGCCCTTTCACCTCACAGTTTCCAGATGAAACCAGTTTAGAGTGTTTAATACAAAAGGAATACAGAAACTTTGGAAACAGGGCTTTAACCCTTTCCCTTACATGTACTTACACTAAAGCCATGCACTGGCTATGGAGGTATAAGATATTGCAGAGTTTAGGGCCTTGAAAACTTTTGTGGGTTCAGTTGTAGCGGGTTCAGGGGAATCAGAGTGTTTGGCATTTGTCCAAGAGGCCCCTGAAATCAGCAGCTGAGGAAACCTCCCCATCCTGTCCCTTCAGGGTCTCAATCATGATGAAATGGGTGGGAGAAAACAGGGACTGTTAGGCTCTTGCCTCTCCTGGTTCAGGCGCCAAGACACCATCTCCGGGGGTGGGGGTTTGGGGGGATGGAGGGTGGTACCACACCAAGACACCATCTCCAGGTGTGGGTTGGTACCACACCAAGACACTATCTCTGGGTATGGGTTACTCTTCAGAAGCTAGAAGAGAGCCGTGATATCTGGAAACGATGAATGACATAAAAGAGAAAATGCCACCATGACTGAATGAAGTCTGGCAATAGCTTATTCTCTCAGTAAATACATTCTCACCAGAACACAGGAACTGGGAACTATAGTGAGGAGGTTTATCTCACAGAAATAAAGGCAAATCTGTCAAAAGTTTAGAAAAATCGCACATCCAGGAGGCATCACCTAAGTCAATGCTCAATCTACAGAAAACTGAGGCTCCACTCAGGATTTTTGAATTTCACACATTTCAAAAGGCTCCCACCTTGAGGCTAAATGCATTAAAACTGGGCTAGCCCCTTTCCAAAGAACTCCAGAGACATGAAAGTGGGTAGGATACCCATATGTCCCACAGGTCTTGAAAGGGTTTTAACCTCTGGCAAGTAACCCTGTCAGCACAATTGCCAAAAACAAGATTTTTTAAAAAATCACATTTGTCACCTGTTGAACTCACTTTTACCCTACGAAATGATTTTTTAAAAATTAAATAAAGCGGACTCACAAATTATGGGTCACTTATTTGCAAGATTAGATGGACAAGCCTGAACACACAGACGTGGACACCCATCTGCTTCTAGTTTGGCAGCGGTAAATCCCTTTACATCTTTTCTAAGAGCTGTTTGGCAAAGGCCTCCACAGGCTTTTCTTTATTTCCTGAGTGCGTGCTGTCACTTCTAGCAGCCAGGCACCATGATCCTCCTCATCGTAGTTTTAAATGAACTCCAAATGCCCTCAAAGGTTGTACAGCTACCAAATCAACTCTAACCACTAAACTACAAGCCCACCAAGAGCCCACCACTACTGCAGAGCATTTCAGAATGACCGGCAGTGAGCACAGTTGCACAAATACAGGTCTGTGAATAAAGGACTGTGCCTTCCACCCATTCATTTGACCACTGTCCTGGAAAGGCATCACTTTTTTGCTGCGTAACTTGGGCAATTTTCCTTAAGAACAGCAAGGAGCTTGGATTAGAGAGGGTATAAATCTGCAGAGCCACAGGGAAGAGGACAGTTCTCCTTCGTGTCTGTGACTACAGACTGTGAAGCCTTTCTTTTCATGGTGAGCTATGGAGCTGGGTAGGGAAGTCTGGGTCTCTGAGATACTGACTAAGGGGGCACCTGACCACTCCTTCTCCTAGTGACTAGACAGTGATCACCCAGTGACCCTCACAATACTGCAGCTACCAGGATGGACTCCTAACTGCAGACAGATTTTGAAGTGACTGGAGCAAACTGGTTCTCTCGTGTTCTAAATGTCTTTAGAGGTCGAAGATTGAGAGGGCTTGAAGGAAATTAACAAACGACAAGGTTCACAAGCAATGAAGGAATGAGTTGACGTGGGTCACCCAAAGTGGTTCAAATTTCATCAGTTAGAGAGTTTTCTCATAAAAAAAGGCCCCAAGTGGTAAGGGAAGTTAGTTCTTGAAACTAAATTCTTATCAAAACGACCAGATTCCATTTGTTTACTCAACCTGCGTTTGTTGAGCATCTAGTACGTGCAAATGGTATGCAAGGAGCTGTGGGGATGTAAAGCTGGAGACGGCTACTGTGGTCAAGGAGCTCACAGGCTAGTGGGGCCGCCGCACACCTACACGGTGACCCTTGTCACAAGCAGCACTTGCCAAGAGGATGTTCATGACAATATGGAGGAAGAGCATCCAGTCTGAGTGGTGCAGGGAGGCGGGTGATCAGAGAAGGTTTTGTAAAGGGAGAGGCCTTAAAATTGAAGTCTTGAAGGATATGTAGGGTTTAATTTTGTAGCTGGAAGAATGGGAAGGTATCTCAGATTTAGGGGGAAGGGTAGGGCAGCCTAAAGAAAGCTCAAGTGATGAAACTGCATGGTGCAAGTAGGGAATGGCAAACAGTTCAATGTGGCTAGATCAAGGGGGCAGAGCATTGGGCTGGCACAAAGCGTTGGGAAGGTCTGGAGTCAGATGATAGAGGATCCTGAATGCCACCTAAGGAAGCTGTATTTAAACTACAGTCATTATGTTTCTGAAAGGTTTAAGGAAATCCTAGGGTAAAGGTAAAGGAAGAATTGGAGGAGTGAAACTGGGGAAACTGGGAATTTGGGGAACCAGTTCACAGCCTAAAAGCCGACTGACTCCCCCCAAGACTATGGGTGGAGAAGAATGTGCCTGTCCTATAAAGGAGAAGAGTGAGTGACAGGCTGAAACTTCCCCAGGCAGGACTGGGTAAGGCTGCTGGGTCCAGAACAACTTGCCGTCTCAGGCTTGGGTTTTCCTTGAGGGTGCACACTTCGCAGGGTACACCCCATAATCTTGGGGAGTGACCCACATTCTCCAAGAAGGGTCGCTTGAGGACAGGCTGAGCATGCTTGTTTCCAGGCCAGCACTACTGTGTGTGCCGATGCTCGCTCCTTGCACAGCTGGAGCCCAGCCAGGTGATTTCGTCCTTGTTGGATGGAGGGCCACAGGTTAATGAGCAGCTAGCTTATACATGAGGAAGCTCTGGGGCTGATCTGCACTGACAGAAACTCAAGCCTGGCCTCGGCTAGGGGGATTTTTACTGATCCAAGTGACTGCCAAAGAGAAGGGAGATGCCACTAGCTTTAAAGTGCCTACCCCTGCCTTCGTTGTTGCTCAGCTGCACTGAACTACCTGGGTGTTTTCTTCAAGGATGAGATGACTTGGAAATGCTTTAAAAGTAAACAAAGTTGTAGGCTAAAAGACATGGCCTGTAAATACCAGCATATGGGATCAATACTAAAGACTTTGCTCTTTGAAATCTAGTACTGGAAAGTACGAAGCTGGGGAAGTCATTCTGAGCCTGTAAATAAGCACCAAGAGAACTGTGGGGAAGACACACCCAAAGCAGAGGTCCCTTAGCCTCCTGCTGCTTGAGCTTGAGGCATGGAACATTTCTCAAAGTCCCTCTGCAATTCGGTTAAGCTTTTCCCTGCTGAGGGTCACCTGATTGAACTATGCTCAACCGCTTCTTAATCCTCGTCCTTGGACACCTTCCTGGGCTCAGGCCGGATTCCATTCTCCCCCAAGGTCCTGACTGGGCACCCTTTGGGAAGTACTGGCTAAAGAATACACTGGGTAAATAAAACCAGTTAAAATAAATACTCTCCCATTGACCTTCTTACACAACTTGGAAAAATGTGAATCAGTCTAACAATCAATGGAAGGTTTTAGGCATCATTTTTCTTCATGGCAGCCTTGTTCCAAAAGGCAGTAGAATCCCAAGGGCCATGTCTTTAACTAATGTGTATGTCCTGGAGAGTTAACGCAGGGAGGTGTCCGTAAGGGGCTTCGATGAGTATGACTGACTGAGATGAAATCAAGCAATGGTGCCCTCATCTCATGGAAAATTCCCAGACAACTCTGGATTACCTCTTTGGTGAACTTTTAAAATAACTTTATAAAAGTAATATAATAGACAATCTGTAAAACATAGGAAAGCACAAGGAAGAAATTTTTAAAAAATTACAGATAATGTTACCATTCTATAACCATCATTAAAGTTTGTTATCCTTTGTCCTTTGCGTATATACAATATGGGTTTTATGTGTAACAGGTCTAGATGTGATCACACACACACTCTTCTCTCTCTCTGACACACACACACACACACGCGTGATCTTACTCTCTTTGGGGACTTTCCTGGTTAGTTAATGCTGTTGCCCTAATTCCAACTCATTTTGTTTCCATTCTTCTCCCTTAGGTAGCCAGTGTCTGCTGCAGTAAAACCAAGTAAACTCAACTAAAATGGTAGAATTTTCGCCAAAATTTCCCTATGCCTTCTAAACCTTCTCAGGCCCACAGAGTCATTGCTGCAAGGAGACCTCAGCGCTCACATGAGCTGACTCCACGGGCAGTAGTGTGTTTTGCTGCCTTCTGGATTGTCCGTGTTTTGGACTGTCCAGACCACAGCATCACCTTTAGGCAATAACAATCAGTTAAAGGAACCGTGGAGGACGCTTGCTACCTCCTAGGGCTGCTTGGCCCTCACCTGGAGACAGGTGTCACGTAGTTTCCGGGGAACACACCCGAGACCCCAGTCCTCAGGGACGTCCCCTTGAACCAGCCGTCCTGACACTTCTCAATGACTCGGTACATCTCGCCCTTTCGCAGCTCCAGCTCATCATTCTTCTGGGGCTTGTAGGCGTAAAGCGCCAGGTACCTGTGGGTAGAAGATTCAGGGCCAAGGGTAAATGGATAAGTTCACAGGACGGAGGGGGTGGCAGGGTGGGTTGCCTACATCACCTGGAGCACATTTGAGGGCTCCTCTTTGGATGAACTCAACCTAAAAATAGTAGCTAATGTCTATGAGGGCCCTGTAGTTTAAAAAGAACTAGCACACACCTTATCTGACTTAATCTTCACAATAAACCAATGAGATAGGTAGGAAGAAAGGGGAAAAGGAGTATTCCCCAGGTCCCTGTGAGAGGCTGGGCTTTCACAAACTTAAGTCTGAGTGGTAGTGACAGTTATTGCCATTTCACACCTGAGACACCAAGTCCTGGAAGATAATCGATGTGCCCAAAGACACATAGCAGGGAAGGGACAGAGCCGGGACCTTTGCAACCGTCACTTTGAGCCTAAAGCCCATGGTCACTGTACACCCTGTACTGGTTCTGGGAAGGCAGGGTAGTCATTGCCACCTGCCCATTTTACAGATGGGAAGCCAGGCTCAGTGAGGTCAAGCAATTCGCCCAAGGCCCTATAAAACCCAACAAAACCAGTTGCCCTCGAGTATATTCCGACTCATGGAGACCACATGTGTGCAGAGCAGAACCACATTCCATAGAATTTTCATGGTTGTGACCTTTCGGAAGCAGATAGCTAGGCCTTTCTAACAAGATTCCTCTTGGGTGGATTCGAACTGCCAACCTTTTGGTTAGTAGCTGTCTTAGTCATCTAGTGCTGCTATAACAGAAATAGCACAAGTGGATGGCTTTAGAACAAAGAGAAATTTATTCTTTCACAGTCTAGTAGGCTACAAGTCCAAATTCAGGGCATCAGCTCCAGGGGAAGGCTTTCTCTGTTGGCTCTGGAGGAAGGTCCTTGTCATCAATCTTCCCCTGGTCAAGGAGCTTCTCAGGTGCAGCGACCCCAGGTCCAAAGGACGTGCTCTACTCCTGGTGCTGCTTTCTTGGTGGTATGAAGTTCCCACTCTCTGCTCACTTCCCTTTCCTTTTATCTCTTGTAAGATAAAAGGTGGTGCAGCCCACACCCCAGGGAAACTCCCTTTACATTGATGAGGGATGTGACCTAAGTAAGGGTGTTACATCCCACCCTAATCCTCTTTAACATAATCTAATCTTGCCTTATTAACCATAGGCGGAGATTAGGATTTACAACGCACAGGAAAATTACAATCACAAAATGGAGGACAACTGCACAGTACTGGGAATCATGGCCTAACCAAGTTGACACATATTTTTGGGGGACACATTTCAATCCATGACAGTAGCTGTCTTAGTTATCCAGTGCTGCTATAAGAGAAATACCACAAGTGGATGGCTTTAACAAACAGAAATTTATTTTCTCACAGTTTAGGAGGCTAGAAGTCTGAATTCAGAGCACTGGCTTGCAAGGAAAGCTTTCTCTGCTGACTCTGGAGGAAGGTCTGTGTCGATAAGGACAGCCTCTTCTCAGCCATGTCCACAGGCAGGCCTGTCTCTTCTCTCGGCCCCTAGGTCTAGCCTCTGCCTTGTGCCAGCAGGTGTTACAAAGCTCTTTAGCTCTGCCAGTAAGTGCCCAGAGGCAACCCCCTCCACCAGGAAGTCTCCTGCCCAAAGGCACCCAGCTCTCTCGCTCCATAGGTTGGCTGCCACTTTGTGTCTCTCTGGTCTCCTGGTTCTGCTGCTGCCGTTTCTCTGCCACTGCCTCTTGCTGTCTTGCACCATCTCTGGTATTACAGCTCTCTCTTGTGTCTCCCGGTTCTAGGAGGTTCTCAGCACAGGAACCCCAGATCCAAAGGACATGCTTCACTCCCATCTCTTCTTCTTGGTGGTATTGAAGTCCCTATCTCTGCTCACTTCTCTCTCCTTTTACCTCTTGTAAGATACAAGGTATGACTCAGGTAAGGGCATGACTTGAATAAGGGTGGTAAGGGTGGTGACTGGGGTAAGGGTGGTGACTTGAGTCACACTCTCTAGTAAGGCAGTGACTCGAGATACATCCCACCCTAACCCTTTCTCATTAACATAATTGACAGCTCGCTCCCAAATGGGACCATAACCACAGGCATATAGACAAGGATTTATAATATATCACGAAATGGAGGATAATTACATTAGATTACAGAATGGAAGACAACCACACAATACTGAGAATCATGGCCTAGCCAAGTTAACATATTTTTTGGGGGACACAATTCAATCCACAACAGTAGCTGAGCACTTAACCATTTGTGCCACCCAGGGACAAGGCCCTATAGTATGTGACAGAACTGGATCCCTGGGGGCCAGGTCTTGGATCCCACAATTTTTCCTATTCTTCCATACTATCTAAAGCCTGTTGTTCTAGGCAAGAGAAACCAAGTATGAACAAGTAAGCATTTTTAGACTGTTTTTTCCTCATTTAGCCTAATGTGGGGATTGGCTTACCTGCCTGACATAAATCCAGTAAATCTGAATTGGAAGAGATCTCAGATGCCTTTTTAAAAGAGAAGATCATCTAGATAGGGAATTCTTGGTCATATTCTCCCTTGCAATATGTACTATGACTATTTTATTTGAATTCTACTTTTCTTTTAAGTCTTATTTGCAGACAAGGAAAGATCAAACTCTGAAATGTAGTGGTGAAAATTCTGGTCTAGAGTTTAGAAATTGTGCTACTAACTCAGCCCATGACCCCGAACAAGCCACCTTACCTCCTAGGCTTCCCTTTTGTAAAATACCTAGTAATACCTGGATCACAACCTCACAGGTACTCATGAGGATGGGATAATACTTGCAAAAGTATTGGGGTTGGGGAATGGTTGGTTTTGAACTGACAGAGAGAATTGCATCAGACAACTACATTTGTTCAGAAGATTCAGCCAGGGAAGTTGGTGGAGGCTTAAGTTCAATAAGATGAATTTTAAAGAAGTGTCACCCACCGGATCTCACACTGGTCTGGGGTTACTTGGTGGTTACATTTGAGGTCCTTCCAGAAGCCATGGGCTCCGAAGGGCTCATGTGGGCATGAGGTCTCTGAGGGTCTGAGAAAAGTTCAGAGACTTCCCAGAGCTCCTTCCTGACTCTGGGACGGGACTTCATATTGGGCGAACACAGAAACAGCATACGGCTCACTAGAGTTCAACCGAGAAGAAACGAGGCCTCCTGGGTCTGAGGGAGTCCCTGAGTGATACAAACGAATAACACACTCTGCTGTTAAGCAAAAGGTTGGTGGTTTGAGTCCACCAGAGGTGCCTCAGAAAAAAGACCTGGCGACTTACTTCCAAAAAATCAGCCACTGCACACCCTGTGGAGCACCATTCTACTCCGACACACAGGAGGTTGTCGTGAGTCGGAACTGACTTGCCGGTAACTGGTTTCTAGGTCTGACAGGCCTAGTAAGGAATATTCTAGAACAGAATTAGAGTCCTGTGGAGACTAAAGATTTCTTGGCCTTAGAATAAAAAAATCTGCCACCCCTTTCCAGCTTCCTAATGCTACGCTCCCCAAGCCATTCTGCTTTTATTCAATGATAGCCTTGTTTACCTCCTTTGTTTACAGTTTTCCCTCCCCTCCCCTCCCCCTTCCCTTCGGGAAGGGAAATGAAAAGTGTGACTTAAACCTGTCTTTCCTTCCCTGTTTGAAAAGATAAATACTGAAAATTAGGAACGACTCCTGGGCTTGCGGGAAGATAAAAAAAGCCATCACCAGAGAGGACGCCTGGCTCTGCATGGGCATAAAGATTCACTTTTTGGACACTATTCCCAGGTGACAAATAAAGTGGAACCCCAGGTGTAATCCTTCTGTTTTCACATTTGCTGATTCTTAGTGGGCTCTTTGATGGTGACAGAAGAATTGCTATAAACGGAAAAGTCACATGAAAACTACATTAACACCACAAAAGCCCTTATGCAGGGGACCGCCTCACGCGGGAAGAAGGAGGGGGGGCTCAGACACACCTCGGAGCTAAGGCAAAGAAAACATAAAAAGAAGCTGAAAAGAAAAAAAGATGGCTGTGGTGGGGGGGAGGCTTGTGAACCAATAAAAATGATGCACGGCTGTTCGCGCCTGCTCTCAAGGAAATATAACTGAAGCATAAATCCTGTTTAAGTTTGCCTCATTCTGTCTCTTTATGATGTCAGAACCATCTTTTTGATTCTGTGGCCAGTAAATAAACAGTGGTAATGAGCAGAATTCTGAGCAGGGGTAATGGTTCCTCAGGGTGTGCTTAGGTGGATGGGTGAGTGCGTGTGACACCAGACCTAATCAAATAATTATATTTCATTAGTCACCAGATGGGAGACACCATCTTGCATCGTCTTTGTTCTGTGTGCATAATCAGGGAGCAAAACAGAGGTCTCCTCAGCTGCCTGATGGGAAACAGGAGGCCCAATACAGGCCCAAGTGTGTGAAACAAAAAACTGTTGCCGTCAAGTCGATTCCAACTCATGGCGACCCCATGCATTGCAGAGCAGAGCTGTTCCATAGGGTTTTCTCAGCTGTAATATTTACAGAAGCAGATCCCCAGGCCTTTCTCCTGCAGGGCTTCTGGGTGGGTTCGAGCCGCCAACCTTTAGGTTAGCAGTCAGGCACAAACCATTTACACCACCCTGGGATCTTATGTTAAGCAAAGCTTGCCTGTTCCACTCACCACTGGGGCCTGTCCAGAGGCTGGTGGACACAGTGAGGAAATGTCGGCTATAAGCTGTGCATGGCTCCACGGCCAGGCCTGTGCAAAAGATGAGTCCGCCTGCGCCAGCCAAGGCAGATCCCAGAAGTATTCTGCCAGGTTTCTAGGGAGTTCTACTAGTGGACTTCCAGAGGGAGACAGAGATTCTGTGGACCTTGTGCTGGGCTGGGTCTCTACTGACTCAGGGCCTGTGTGGCCTTGGCCCACCCTTCTTCTCGCCTTTTCCATGTTGGGCTGATGCTATGTGCCATGATTAAACATTTTCACAGGAAAGACTGGGCCACTGGGGCCATATGCTTTGGTGTCCCAGAGAAACTCTGAGGGTTC